TTAGTTTGTAGATGTGCTGCTTCAGATAAAATTTTAGTTTCTTCTCGTCGTAAAGGAACAGTCCATCAAGGAAAATATACAGGAGCTTTAGTTATTCCTCCTAACAAAAATATTAAAAGGCCCGTTGCAGATGTTGATTTCACATCATATTATCCCCATTCTATTATTCAGAATAACATCTCTCTAGAAACATGTGTATCAAAAGAATCTGCAGATCCATCATTTAATGTTATAATCGATAATGATATTGTATATGATAAATTTGTTCCACACAATGGTATTATCGAAAAGATGGGGATTATGCCTTTGATGTGTAAAGAATTATTAGAGAAAAGAGCAAAAGCAAAAAAAAATATCAAATTGTACAAATCTGATAACACAAAACTTCGCTATTTCACATCATTGTCCGAAGCGGTAAAAATATTCGCAAATTCTATTTACGGTGAAACTGGATATCGATTTTCTCCATTATACCGAGAAGAAGTTGCGTCATCCATCACAGCATTTTGTCAAGCAACATTACGACTAGTAATCAATTTTGTCCAAGAGCAAGGTTTTACAGTCATTTACAGTGATACAGATTCGATATTCTATTCATTACCAGAATTTTATTTCATTGAGTTGGATTCAAAATACTCAAACAAATTGTTAACCAAAAAAGAATATTGGGAAGAACAGATCAAATCCTTGAAAAAAAAAATCAACGAATATTTACAAAAAACAATAAAATCCACATATCTTAAAATGGCATATGAGAAAACCTTATACCCATTCTTGATTTTTGGTAAAAAACATTATGTTGGAATAGAACATTCTCACGAACCTGATTTTGATAATTTAAAATTATTTTTGAGGGATTTGAAATTAGTTAAGCGAAATGTTTCAGAGTTTTACAAGATTGTTAGCAAAGAGTTGATATATTCATCACTTGGATTTAATAAGGACTTTTTAATTAGAACCGAGGAGATAGATCAAAAGAAATTAGTTGAACAAATAATCACAGATTATGTGAAAAAGAAAGAAACAATATTAGATTTATTTGTGCTTACAGCAAAATATGACCCTACTTACGCGTTTGTTTCCGTGATAGACTATATATAACTTTTTGATAAAAAAAAATCCGAACCTATACTCCAACAAATATCAAAATCAACAAAGAAAAAAGGAAATACAATGGTATTAAATTTTGTTGCAAGACTAAATGGCGTGATCGGACCTGGTCATTTTTTTTATTATATTGAAACAAAACAAAATACGTCAATTTCAGACAAAATGATTCTGGTTGAACATTTTGATCCCAAGAAGAATATCATTGATATCATTTATTATTTCAATAGTTTACGTGATATCGTAGCGCATCTATTAGGTTGCAAAGAGAAACAAGCTTTAAAGAAAATTGAGGAAATATTTAATCTGGATAAATCCAAAAAGTAACAAAGAATAACAGATTTTTTCACTACGAATCCAAAGAGAAAAAATGATTCAGTTACCTTAAAAGAAAACAAACAAAGAAAATTAAATTAAATTTTGTATAACCTTAATGATATATAAATGGTAATGATTCGTTTTTTATTTTGTTTCAACGATGTTTTATAAATTATTTGAGAGTAATCATATTAAAATATTAGATTACGTTGAAATAACAAAACTCTATACAAAAGAACAACAATCATCTGTTATAATAAACTACCTATCACAAAATAATTTCAATGTGGAAAAATTCAACGAATTTTTAATATTGACAGAAAAACGTAATCGTTTAAAAAATTCATCCAGCATTTATGAATTAACGATTGACATTGACAAGGAAATAGAAATGATAATACTGACCGAAACTTTAAAACTCAATAATATAATATTCACAAAAGAACATATATTTTATTGTAATTATTCATTTTTTCTGTTCAGTATTTATATTGAACAGAAACTTATTTCTGTAATTTAACAGGAATGCTCTGTCAAAAACGTCCAAAGAAGAAACATCCTTCACTTTATCGAAAAACTAAAAAAAATAAATTAAAATTTAACAATGTGATAATAGATGATGTTTTTCATTTGATAATCTTATTTTTGATTCCTGTTGATATAACCAAATTCTCCAGATTCAAATTCACTGATCGAAGATTTATCAATTTTTAGCAAATCAAATTAGTGGATTGGTGATTTTATCACTTTTTCAAATATTATTTTTCTCGTTATAGAACTAAATACTATTTGATACAAAAATATAATCATCTCTACAAACCTCCAAATTATTTTGACTGGAAGATTCATTATTGCAAGAAAGAAATTTTGATTGATATCGATATAGACAAATATGTTAAACTTCGTTCTTAAAACGGAACACCTTATTGTGTATTAAGTGGTGAGACTTTAATCTTTCTTGAATCGAATAAATTTAATGATTATCAAAAAAAAAAAAGTGATGTTTGTAGGGATTTTACATATTGTGCCATGTGCCTTTACGATTTTCACAGAGACGATATATTTGAAACTAAAAGAATATTGGAAAAAGTGACACCTGCGATTGACGTTGGAAATTTTATATGTTATTATATAAATAATTGTATTAATTGTAGAAAAGGTATTCTATCATCAAATCAGGATATATATAAAACAAAATGCAGAAACTATTAAATATTTTTATATAAATAAATATTCGAGTTTTGTTCAGTATTTACCGAACAGAAAATTATTTCATTGATTTATTATGGAATCGAAAAAAAATTTTACCTTTATTAAATACGATCATAATGAGAAAAGAAAAAATAAGCGACAAAAACTTAATCTGTATTTTAAAAACAAAATTAGAACCAAAAACAATCAGAGATTCATCTCTTTACTTGACGATATATTACACATAATATTTTTTTTCTTAGCTCCTTCCAAACTCAAGCTCGATAATCTGGAAAACGGTGATTTTCGACGATTAAAGTTCATTTGTCGCATATTTTATTTATTTTACCACTATTATTTTAAAATACATGCGACCAAGTATTATCTTGTACTAAAACACATCACTCTCTACTCTATCAAAAAGTACGAATAGAATGTATGATATTGCCCCAAGACTATTTGGATCAACATTAAGATCGATGACTATTTTCAGAGACATAAACTACGATCACATTTTTTTAACAATATACCCAACGATAACGAATTACATGTTGAACTAAGTCAATTATTAAACTTTAGAAAGATTTTACTATTTGTTGATTACCAAACATATCTAACATATGGAAAAACTATATGTGAAGCTTGTTCTTTGTTTACATACTGTGAAAAATACATTTACACTTTCTATCAGAACACGCCTTCAACTTGTCAATCGCTTTTGGATGCTTTAACAAAACCAACCAGTAACAATTTTTATTTAATGTACAAAGTAAATCTTTGTGAGCACTGCGAAAAATATTTCACAAATTTGTTCATGTGTCATGACTACAACGCTCTCTTAGATTCACAAATTTGATATTTGTAACTAAACAATATAGTTCGATCAATTTTACTTTTGTGACCAATGTAAAAATTATTTGTCTGGAATTGCTATGATAAAGGAATTGGTTCATTTTCTAGAACACAATTTAATTATAGGTTTTGTGACTTAATGTAAAAACTATTTCCTAATTTATTTATATATTTGATTCACAAATTTGGAAATTGCTATGATAAAGGAATTGGTTCGTCTTCTAGAACACAATTTAATCATAGGTTTTGTGACTCAATGTAAAATTATTTCTCGAACCTTTGGAATCCCATAATTTATTTTTCAAATTAAAATATATAAACCCTAGTATTTTCCTAAGAAACTAAAAATGGTTTTTGAAATCGAGATCAGTTCAAACCTATCTCTCTGTTTGATCGAGTTGCAAAAGCTTTTTTTCTGTTTCTCACTGCTATATTTTGCATTTATTATGTTTTCTAATAAATGACCTTCTAATCAGTCCAAGACCAATTAGATTTTTCTTTACACAATTTTCTCCTATTTAGGTAAGAGGAGGATCCCAACTTGTATATATGTCTGAAATTTAATTTCGCTTGTTATACTAACTCTTACTTGCCACTTTTTAATCCGAATGATTGCTCATGCGCTTTTTCGTTCTTCAGAATGCCTTTAAAATATTTTTATGTTGTTCTAATTGGTCGTACACTTGGGTTTACAACACTTTAAAGAAATGTGATGAACAAGTGAACAATTTTTCATCATCATATTACAAAAAATTTTTAACAATAGAAGAAGCTAACGAAGAATTTGAAAGATGCCAATCAAGAATTAAAAGAAAGAAAGAAAAATTAAGTTCTAACGATAAAATAGTTATATACACAGATGGTTCTCACAAAAATAACCAAAAAGGATCTTATGCTAGTATTGGAGTTTATCATGAAGATGAAAGTAAAGAAATCACTAAACCTTTATCTGGAGATTTACAAACTAATAATCGTGCAGAATTATATGTAGTGATTCGCGCGTTAGAAACATGTGAGGATCAATATAGAGTAATTGAGATTAAATCAGATAGCCGATTTGTTGTTAATTCTCTTGAAATATAGATTCATAAATGGAAAAAAAATGGATGGAAAACAGTAAAAAATCAAAATGTAAAAAACAAAGATTTGTTTGAGAAGATCGATTTTTTATTGACCAAGAGACCTGGACAGGTATATTTTACACATGTTTTTGGACATAAAGGTGTAACCAGAAATGAATTAGCTAACAAATTAGCTAAACAAGGTGCTATAATTAAAATAAATGAGAGTAAAAAATTATCTCCATACAATTTGTTTATGAAAACAAATTTAGCTATTGTTAAAAAAAATAATCTAGATTTAGAACATAAAGATGCATTTAAATTAGTTGTATCAATGTGAAATGAAACAAAAAAATTCAAATAGTTTATTATTAACGATGTATTTTTTCTTTATTTATTTAATAAATTTTTATTAAATTAAAATTACACTTAA